CTTTTCTGTAACTTGATTGTGCTGATGGTTACATGTCTATATGTGTATTAAAATTCAAAGAACTGCATGCCAAAAGGAAAATCCATTCTATGTTAACTGGAAAAAAAAAAAAAAGATGGGGAGAATTACAGTCTTGAAAATGTTAATTTTACAAAACACCAAGAAAAACTGTGTGCTCCAGATTAAAGGAGTCTGAAGAGACGTGACAAATGTAATACCTGATCCCAGATTGGATTCCATACCAGAAAGGAAAAAAAAAATGCTATAACATCATTTGTATCAACAGATAGAACAAATAACTCCAAAGTTTTAGCTTCAAGCTTATTCAAAACCTGGGGAAAAACTGACTAGTGATCTTATGTTCTGTTCCTTGATCCTTTAATACATTAATTGATTCAATTAAGCATTCATGGAATGCCTGCTACATAAAAGGCAATGTACTATACTTGATGTAGGAATTCCTCTTTTCTCAAACGCTGCTCAAAGTCTTCCAGTTCTAACAATGCTGTCTGTGAAATCATTTATCCACTTTTTTTTTAACTTTTAAGTTTAGGGGTACATGTGCATGACATGCAGGTTACATAGGTAAGCATGTGTCATGGTGGTTGTACCAATTACTTCATCACCCAGGTATTAAGCCTAGTATCTATTAGTTATTTTTCCTGATCCTCTCCCTTCTCCCACCCTCCAGCCCCTCCATTAGGCCCCACTGTGTGTTGTTCCCCACTATGTGTCAATTTGTTCTCATCATTTAGCTCCCACTTATAAGTGAGAACATGTGGTATTGGTTTTCTGTTCCTGCATTAGTTTTCTGAGGATAATGGCCTCCAGCCTCATTCATGTTCCTGCAAAGGACATGATCTTGTTTCTTTTAATAGCTACATAGTATTCCATGGTGTATATGTACTACGTTTTCTTTATCCAGTCTATCATTGATGGGCAGTTAGGTTGATTCCATGTCTTTGATATTTTAAATAGTGCTGCAGTGAACATATATGTGCACGTGTCTTTATAAGAGAATGATTTATACTTCTTTGGGTATATACACAATAAGGCGATTGCTGGTCAAATGGTATTTCTGTTTTTAGATCTTTGAGGAATCACCATACTGCCACACTGTCTTCCGTAATGGTTGAACTAATTTACACACCCACCAACAGTGTATAAGCGTTCCTTTTTCTCCACAACCTTGCCAGCATCTGTTATTTTTTTTTTTACTTTTTAATAATGGTCATTCTGACTGGCATAAGATGGTATCTCATTGTGATTTTGATTTGCATTTCTCTAATGATCAGTGATGTTGAGCTTTTTTTTATGTTTGTTGGCCACATGCATGTCTTCTTTGGAGAAGTGTCTGTTCACGTCTTTTGCCAACTTTTCAATAGATTTTTTTCTTGTAAATTTAAGTTTCTTAATGGTATCCCTCCCCGCCCCGCCCCCACCATAGGACCCGGTGTGTGATGACCCCCTTCCTGTGTCCCAGTGATCTCATTGTTCAATTCCCACCTATGAGTGAGAACATGCGGTATTTAGATATACCTAATGTAAATGACGAGTTAACGGGTGCAGCACACCAACATGGCACATGTATGCATATGTAACAAACCTGCACATTGTGCACATGTACCCTAGAACTTAAAGTATAATAAAATAAATAAATAAATTTAAGTTTTTTATAGGTGTTGGCTATTAGACCTTTGTCAGATCATAGTCTGCAAAAATTTTCTCCCATTCTGTAGGTTGTTTACTCTGATAGTTTATTTTGCTGTGAGAAGCTCTTTAGTTTAATTAGATCCCACTTGTCAATTTTTGCTTTTGTTGCAATTGCTTTGTCATGAAATCTTTGCCCATGCCTATATCCTGAACGGTATTGCCTAGATTGTCTTCCAGGATTTCTATAGTTTTGGGTTTTACATTTAAGTCTTTAATCCATCTTGAGTTAGTTTTTCTATATAGTGTAAGAAAGGGGTCCAGTTTCAATTTTCTGCATATGGCTAGCCAGTTATCCCAGCACCATTTACTGAATAGGGAATCCTTTCCCCATTGCTTGTTTCCATCAGGTTTGTTGAAGATCAGATGGTTGTAGGTATACGATCTTATTTCTGGGTAGTCTATTCTGTTCCATTGGTCAATGTGTATGCTCTTGTACCAGTGCCATGCTGTTTTGGTTACTGTAGCCCTGCAATATAGTTTGAAGTCAGGTACCATGATGCCTCCAGCTTTGTTCTTTTTGCTTAGGACTGCCTTGGCTATTTGGGCTCTTTTTTAGTTCTACATGAATTTTATTTTTATTTATTTATTTTTTTGAGACAGAGTCTTGCTCTGTCACCTACGCTGGAGTGCAGTGGCGCGATCTCAGCTCACTGTAAGCTCTGCCTCCTGGGTTCATGCCATTCTCCTGCCTCAGCCTCCCGAGTAGTGGGGACTACAGGCGCCCACCACCATGCCTGGCTAATTTTATTTTTGTATTTTTAGTAGACACAGGGTTTCACTGTGTTAGCCAGGATGATCTGGATCTCCTGACCTTGTGATCCACCCGCCTTGGCTTCCCAAAGTGCTGGGATTACAGGCGTGAGCCACCATGCCCAGCAAGTTCCACATGAATTTTAAAATAGCTTTTTCTAATTCTGCAAATAAAGTAGGTGGTAGTTTGATAGGAATAGTATTGAATCTATAAACTGTTTTGGGCAGTGTGGCCATTTCAATGATATTGATTCTTCCTATCCATGAGCATGGAATATTTTTTCATTTGTTTGTGTCATCTGATTTATTTGTAGAGCTCTTTCCCTTCCCTTGTTAGCTGTATTTCTAGATACTTTATTCTTTTTGTGGCAATTGTGAATGAGTTCTCTTGTGATTTGGCTCTCAGCTTGACTGTTGTCAATGTATAGGAATGCTAGCAATTTCTGCACATTGATTGTGTATCATGAGACTGCTGAACTTGCGTATCAGCTTAAGAAGCTTTTGGGCTGAGACAATGGGGTTTTCTAGCTATAGGATCACGGCATCTGCAAACAGGTAGTTTGGCTTCCTCTCTTCCTATTTGAATGCCCTTTATTTCTCTTTCCTGATTGCTGTGGCCAGAACCTTCAATACTATGTTGAATAGGAGTGCTGAGAGGGCATCCTTGTCTTGTGCCAGCTTTTTTTTTTTTTTTTCTTGAGACGGAGTCTCACTCTGTCACCCCAGCTGGAGAGCAGCGGCACAATCTCAACTCACTACAACCTCCACACAACCTCCGCCTCTCAGGTTCAACAGATTCTCCTGCCTCAGCCTCCTAAGTAGCTACAACTACAGGCACGCACCACCACGACCAGCTAATTTTTGTATTTTTAGTAGAGACGGGGTTTCACCATGTTGGCCAGGATGGTCTCAAACTCCTGGTCTCAAGTGATCTGCCCGCCTTGGCCTCCCAAAGTGCTGGGATTACAGGCGTAAGCCACCCCACTCAACCTTGTGCCGGTTTTCAAGGAAAATGCTTCTTTAATAGCATGTGCTGCCATAAAATGTTGGTGGCTCTTAGATCTTTTCTTCAAATATTGTCTGCAGTAATTTTTCTACTCCAGTAGGAAAGTTGCCCATTTTATACCACTGCACAATGTCCAGATTTATGGACATTTTCTCTAGTCATCTCATTAAGAGAGATTTTTTTCTTCAAGTTGGAAAACTCTTCCCCCCAATAGATGTGTACACTGTTACAAGTAACAGCAAACCCCAGTGTTAACTGGATCACTTAAAGGGAATTTACCGACTCACTGATAACCTATCAAAGCTCCAGTTTCATTCCTCCAGAGCTGCCTCGGCTCTGCTTTTTTCCTCTTAACAATTTTGTCCTCAGGCTGCTTTCTACCATAGCGGCAGCTGTCTGCCAACAGCAATCAGGGCTGTATATTTCTTCAATCACATCCAAAGAAAGAGAAAATAGTATCACTAAACCAAAATACTAAATAGAAGTCTCAAAATTTCTGACTGTACATCTTAGGTCACACACCACCCCTGAACCAATCCTAGTCAAACACTATGGGTGATACGCTCTGTCAAAGACAAAGAGTAGATGTCCACAATAACACTTCTTTTACCTAGTAATAAGCAGCTACCATTTACTAGGTACATACTGTATCCTGCCTCTTCATCCTTTTCGCCATTTAAACTACAGGAAACTGAGTTATCTTCAGGTCACCTTAGTTATAGGAGTGTACGGAAAACATGAATGGAAAGGTAAAAGTGCAGCAAACCACTTCAGCAGTTAACAGAAAGGCTCTCAGAGCACTGGACCGCCAATCAGGACACTGCAGCAGCTCTGGGATTCGACCACAGATTCTTCGGCGTGCCCTCGGAGAAAGGGTGGCCTCGTGACCCCTATTCTACAGAGTCTCCTCCCACGGCTGCCCAGCTCCCTGGCAGACTATCTTGCCTCTACATCACCAGCAGTAGTGGGCGTCTACAGGGCAGAGCTGTCCCGGGACCTCCTCACTGCCTCCAGAGTCAAGGAACGCCCCCTCAGGGAAGTCCTCCACCTCATCACTGACCTGTGAGTCACGGAGCTCCCGGGCACCATGCTGGCCACAAATGCCTAAGGAGCCACCCCCGGAAGCAACTGTGGGTCCCGCAGGCACTCGCAGGCTAGTAGACACCTTCGGGGCCTGAGGGACTTGTACTTCAATCCAATGCTCTCCTCACTCTCACAAGATTTTACAGACGTGGAAATCGAGGCCCCAAGGGGTAATCGGCCCGCGTTCCCATGCCAATAACCGGCGGTGGCGGGACCCACACCTACCCTGTGACCCGCAGGCCCAGGGGTCGAGCCCCAGGTAGAACGCCTACACCGACTCCGCCCTCGGCGCAGCACGGGGAACCTTAACCCGGACATAGAGGCGTAAGCGGAAGTGCTGCCGAGCCGTAGCTATGGAGACGCGGGGGGCGGGCCGCCCGGAGAGCGCGACCTTTGACCTGCAGTCGAGCCTACGTCAGAGGCTGGCGCAAACAGAAGTGCAGCGGTGGCGGGGGCTGGTTGCGAGCCAGCGGCAGGCAGGCGGCGATGGAGGTAACTCAGGTCGGGCCCACTGCCTCCCATCAAGCCTTCCGCGCAGCTACTTGGGATGTGGGGGTGGGCCCGGTGGGAGGGCGCGGAGGGTACCCCGAAGCCCGCTCTGCAGTCGCCTGCCACATCTTCCCTAAACTCCATCCCTGGCGGTTACCTGTCCTCATAGAGCCCGTTTGTATACGATTTGCCACAGCGACCGCCTCCGTCCGCCCTCATTCTCTGTCTCACAAGGCTTTCCACCACTTGATTCCATAGAAGGTTTTTCTCTGTAAAGGTTCCACGCGTTCCGTGTGGGATTAGGGAAAGAGTTCTTCTGACACCTGCGTTTGATTTTGTTTTGCAGGATCCTGTTCAAGATGGGGTGGCTTCACCAGCTACCCCTGGGACCGGGAAATCTAAGGTGAAGAGGATACTTGAATAGCGGGCTCCGTGAAGACTGGAAGGGTGATGAATTGGAAAACTTTGGCATGAAGAAGGGGGGCGCTGTATATATATGTATATATACACACACATATAATTTATTTTTTTAATATCCTTGCTCCAAGGGATCTCAATTTTAGTTTACGCAGTCACCAATCCATTTCCTGTTTCTTTCTCCCCCGCCCACCCCGATATAAAAAGACTTTTTGTTTACTTCCTGCTGCTGGTTAGCACTGTTGGGAGATCCTGCGATTTTTCGAACATGAAACAAAGCAGTCTAATTTAAGAAGGTTTATATAGTGATGTAGTGGAAGGAGCAGTGACATAGGGTAGGGATCAAGGGATTCTGATCTGTGGGCTCCAGTTTTTACATTGTCAAAGAGTTGAATTAGTCCAGTTTTATGGCCTTGTACGGTGTTTAACATTTAATCATGCTAAACGATAGTGGTTTATTGCTAAGTTTATTGCTTGCATGCTAAATTTCAGGCACTTGCCTAACCACTCAGTTACTTCATTTAAGCTTCATGATAACCGTGAGATAGGTACTGTTGTTGAGAAACCTGAGACCACAGGCTTAAGTAATTTTCTCAAGTGGTAAAGCTTAAACCTGAGACCACAGGCTTAAGTAATTTTTTCAAGTGGTAAAGCTTAATTTTTTAATTAAAGCCTGAATGTCACCTGGTTCATCTTGCTGCTATAATTATGCTTACATTTTCTTGTGACACTTTCAGCCTTAAATAGATTGAAATACTTTTACAGCTCCAAGCAATTTTAAGTAGCATTAGCTCCAACCCACTAATTTTACAATTAAATCAAAAGCTAGCAATGTCAACCTGTAACATTAGCTATAAGAGGATATGCCCTGGTATTTGCGTTTCATAGTAGTTGCATAACTAATTTTTAGTACTTGCATAGCAATTACAGAGTTGACGTTGCATTTGCTTATTTTAAAAGATGTGGCCGGGCGCGGTGGCTCACGCCTGTAATCCCAACACTTTGGGAGGCCGAGGCGGGTGGATCACCTGAGGTCAGGAGTTTGAGACCAGCCTGGCCAACATGGTGAAACCCCGTTTCTACTCAGAATACAAAAATTAGCCGGGCGTGGTAGCGGGCGCCTGTGATCCCAGCTATTTGGGAGGCTGAGGCAGGAGAATTGCTTGAACCTGGGAGGCAGAGGTTGCAGTGAGCCAAAATCGTGTCATTGCACTCTGGCCTGGGCAATAGAGCGAGACTCTGTCTCAAAAAAAAAAAAAAAGTGGAACAGAGTATGCTGTTGGCATAAAAATTTATTCTGTAGAATGTTTTTGTTTTCTGGCAGACATTGTTTGTTTTTTGTGGTATACTAGAAACATGAGTTATAACAAGTTGGTAACATGACCACATCTTTCAGCTGGAAACATTGCCCAAAGAAGACCTCATCAAGTTTGCCAAGAAACAGATGATGCTAATACAGAAAGCTAAGTCAAGGTGTACAGGTATTGGGTTGAAAATACTCATCTTGATCACAGTCTCTTTAATCGTGGTTCAAAATGGTAGTTTTTAAAATAATGCATTGGCTTGTTTTTGTTTTCCAGTGATTCCAAGTACACCTTAGTGTAGTAGAATCTGTTACGTAACATTCTAAAAGTTTACCTCTGATTTCTAAATTATTCCCACGTCTCTAAACCACAGTGACTTTTGAGTTGTTAAAGTCAGGGAGGAGGATTTTTAAAGTTTGTGCAAGTTAAGTGTTTTTCCTTCATGTAGACTTTAGATTCTTCTGAGTAAAGCGTTTTTTCAAGAGAAGTCAGTTGAAATGTTAGAGACAGAAGATAAGCCCAAAGAGATGGAATGCTTCCTCAATTAAAATAATAAAAGATTTCCATTTATAGACATTAAAGTATATTTATCTGTTGAAGTTGATTGATTCCCTGTTCAGTTTTCTTTTTATTCCAGAAGGGAAAAGATCTTAGATCTTTTTCTTAGTATATGTACATGAGCTCTTGAATTTCCAGTGACTTACAAATATTAACTGCTTAGCCCAAAAGCCGAGACTTATTTTCTATTAGAAAAGATAAAATTATGTCTTGGGAGTTTGGATCACTTTGCAATAAAGAGAATAATTTATTTGGAAAGAAGTTCTAGGCCTGAGATCTAGGCATTCGCTAGTGAAACACTTCGATTAACGTTTCGTTTTTTTTTTTTTTTTGAGACAGTGTTGCTCTTGTTGGCTAGGCTGGAGTGCAGGGGCACAATCTCAGCTCACTGCAACCTCCCCTTCCTGGGTTCAAGCGATTCTCCTGCCTCAGCCTGCCAAGTCCTCCCGAGTAACTGGGACTGCAGGCGGCCACCACGATGCCTGGCTAATTTTTGTATTTTTAGTAAAGACAAGATTTCACCATGTTGGCCAGGCCGTTCTCAATAATGTTTATTCTTAATATGCAATTGTGGCTTTTAAGGTTATATGTACTTACAGGTAAAGTAATATGATGTCTGGAGTATGCTTGAAAATTATCAGATGGATAAGAGCAGTGAAGGAGGAAGTGAATACAGGTTGGGAGGACACAAAATTGGCCATGTAATAATGTTGAAGCATAGTGATGAGTGCAGAGATTAATCATACTATTCTGCTTACATGTATTCTAATTTGCAGATTTTGGGGGGTTTTGTAAGAATGTACTTACCAGTTTCCCAGTAATTATGTTCTTTATTTCTGAACCGGAGTCCTTTATTTTTTAATTGTTTAGAATTGGAGAAAGAAATTGAAGAACTCAAATCAAAACCTGTTACTGAAGGAACTGATGATATTATTAAGGTAATTATTAAGTTGGGAAATGTCTAAAGAGAAATAAAATTTCCATGAGGATTGTCAGTCTGCTAGAGGCTGTCTGGCTTTGTGTCCCTGTTCTTCTACTTCCTCTCTGCCGTGGTTGTTTTTACCTATCTGATTCACTGTAAAAAGAGTGGGTTAATTACCTCTAGGTCTCTTTCTGTTCTGAAATTATTCTACTCTTTCTTCCCACGTATTTTCTTTTTTCTTTCTTTCTTTTTCTGAGATGGACTCTCACTCTGTCACCAGGCTGGAGTGCAGTGGTGTGATCTTGGCTCACTGTAACCTCTGCCTCCTGGGTTCAGGCGATTCTCCTGCCTCAGCCTCCCAAGTAGCTGGGACTACAGGTGCACGTCACCATGCCCAGCTAATTTTTGTATTTTTAGTAGAGACGGGATTTCACCATGTTGGCCAAGATGGTCTTGCTCTCTTGACCTCATGATCCACCCACTTTGGCCTCCCAAAGTGCTGGGATTACAGGCATGAGCCACCACGCCCCAGCCCATATTTTCTAATTATGGTTGTTACTTCATTCTCTGTCTGCTCTTCCCCAGCCTCCTGAGAAAACCTGGCCATGCTCAGGACTTCAGTGATTTTAGGTGTGCAGTATATAATCTATAGATAGATTGATATCCCTGGACATGACTACTGACCCAGATCTCACAGTTGTGTTTCCCTCTCACACATCTCAGTTATCATCTCATCAAACTCAACATAACCAAATTGCTTCCCTTGGTTAGACCAGTGGCACCACAGTTTTTCATACCTTTTGACTTTAGAGACACTTTAACTTTTCTATTTCCTTTATTCTCTATATGCGTCAGCCACCAGAGACCTATCAGAGCTATAAGATATTGTTCCAGTTTATCTCTTTTCTCTCCATTTCTATGGCTTTATGTTAAAAACATCAAATACTTAACCTATTTCAATAAAAACCTAACTGGGTTCTCTTTCTCTTTTTAGTCTTATATAATCCTGCCAGATAACAAAATATTATTTTTATTCCCTGTTTAAAAACCTGAGTTGCAGGCCGGTCGCAGTGGCTCACACCTGTAATCCCAGCACTTTGGGAGGCCAAGGTGGGAGGATCACTTGAAGTTAGGAGTTTGAGATCAGCCTGGCCAGCATGGTGAAACCCGGTCTCTACTAAAAATACATTTAGCTGGGCGTGATTGCCCACACCTGAAATCCCAGCTACTCAGGAGGCTGAGGTACGAGGTTTGTTTGAACCCAGGAGGCAGAGATTGCAGTGTGTTGAGATTGAGCCACTGTACTCCAGCCTGGGCAACAGAGTAAGACTCCATCTCAAAAAAAAAAAAAAAAAAAAAAAAAAAAACTGAGTTGCTTATTATTTCCACTCCCTTAATGCTAACAAATGCTTTTTTATTCCCCACCTTAGGCCAAGCTTCTGTAAAGTTTCTTTTGCATGTCAGAGCTCTGCAATACTGTATTCACTGCTTTTGCATAATATCCTTTGGTTATATATTTATTTATTTATTTTTGAGACGGAGTCTTGCCCTGCCACCCAGGCTAGAGTGCAGTGGCACAGTCTCAGCTCACTGTAAGCTCCGCCTCCTGGGTTCATGCTGTTCTCCTGCTTCAGCCTCCCAAGTAGCTGGGACTACAGGCACCCACCACTACACCTGGTTAATTTTTTGTCCTTTTAGTAGAGACGGGGTTTCACCGCATTAGCCGGAATGGTCTCAATCTCCTGACCTCGTGATCCACCCGCCTCGTCCTCCCAAAGTGCTGAAATTACAAGCGTGAGCCACTGCGCCCAGCGTGGTTATATATTATCTTATTTTCTCATCAGTGGCTCCCTACTTATGAGCTGTGGACTACTGAGGGACTCCCAGAGAGTTATTACAAGGCGTCTTTAAATCCATATGCATGTCACGCTGTATCATTTTGTTCTTTATTTAGTTACAATCTATGAAGCTAGAATGATATACACAAATGCCATTTCGTTTTATAATGTACTGTTTCATTTAAGTATTATTGAGTTCACAGTAGTCTTCTTTGTATATTTGATCATTATGTGTTTTCTTAATCCATGATAGCCACAACACAACTATATGGTAATTAAGGAAGAAGGTCAATTACACCCAGACTGCCTGAGTTAGGCTTTCAAATCCTTGTTCCTCCACTGACCAGCTGTGTGACCTTGACTAAGTTTCTTAAATTCTTTCTCTATGATTCAGTTTTGTCATCTGTAGAACAGCGATAATAATACTCTTTGTTTGTAGGATTGAGGTACAAATAGGATTGATGTAGAAATGTAGGATTGATAAGGTAATACATCTACTGCACATAGAACTGGGTTGGCCACGTAAGTACCCAATAATTGTTAGTTATCATTGTTGTTATTACCATGTATTATTTCTGGGGGATTTTTTTTTTCTTGAGATAGGGTTTCTCCCTATCGCCCAGGCTGGAGTGCAGTGGCATGATCTCCGTCCACTGCAACCTCTAGAGTGTTTTCTAGTTTTTTATCCATTAACTCTTAAAATACTTTTTACAGAATTGCATTTCAGAATAAGAACGTTTAAATACCTACCTGCTGTTTCCTTCTTATCACTCATCAGTGTATTCTCCCACTGTCAAAACTGCTCCTAAAGACAAGATTAGAAAATTTCGGCTGAGCTCAGTGGCTCACACCTGTAATCCCAGCACTTTGGGAGGCTGAGGCAGATGGATCACCTGAGGTCAGGAGTTGGAGACCAGCCTGGCCAACTTGTGAAACCCCATCTCAAAATACAAAAATTAACCGGGCATGGTGGCACACACCTGTAGCTCAGGTACTCAGGAGGCTGAGGCAGAAGAGTCGCTTGAACCCAGGAGGCAGAAGTTGAGTGAGCCGAGATAGTGCCACTGTACTACAGCCTGGGCAACAGAATGAGATTCCGTCTCAAGAAAAACAAAATTTATCCAAGTTAGCCAACTTTACCTTTAAGGGTGTTTTTTCTTTTCCTTCTTTTTTTTTTTTTTCTTAATCCGTTATATTTATACGTATTCATGGGGTACGTGTGAAATTTTGTTAAATGCGTAGAATAATCATCAAATCAGAGTAGTATCCACACCCAGGTATTTATCATATATATGTGTTAGGTACATTTCAGGTCTTCTGGCTATTTTGAAAAATACTTATCTTTCTCTGCCTGACTTAGATTTTACTTAACATAATGACCTCAGCTCCATCCATATTGCTGGAAATGATGTGATCTCATTCTTTTTTATGGCTATATACATTGTATATATATATAGCATTCATCCTTTGATGGGCACTTAGGTTGATTTCATGTTTGCTATTGTGAATAGTGCTGCAGTAAACACGGGAGTGCATGTATCCCTTTGTTGTATTGATTTCTTTTCAATAACTACCAACATTGGGGTTTTTGGATTGTATGGTAGCTCTATTTTTAGTTTTTTGAGAAATCCCCGACTGTTTTGTTGTTTTTTAGATGGAGTCTTGCTCTGTCACCTAGGCTGTAGAGCAGTGACGTGATCTCGAGAGCTCACTGCAAGCTCTTCCTCCCAGGTTCACACCATTCTCCTGCCTCACCATCCTGAGTAGCTGTGACTACAGGTGCCTGCCACCATGCCGGGCTAATTTTTTGTATTTTTTTTTTTTTTTTTTTTTTTTTGAGACGGAGCCTCCTTCTGTTGCCCAGGCTGGAGTGCAGTGGCGCGATCTCGGCTCACTGCAAGCTCCGCCTCCTGGGTTCACATCATTCTCCTGCCTCAGCTTCCGAGTAGCTGGCGCCCGCCACCACGCCTGGCTAGTTTTTTGTATTTTTAGTAGAGACGGGGTTTCACCATATTAGCCAGGATGGTCTCGATCCCCTGATTGTGATTTGCCCGCCTCGGCCTCCCAAAGTACTGGCGAGAGCCCCCGCTCCCGGCCTGAGGAATCCCCAACTGTTTTCTATAGTGGCTATACTTACCTACACTTCCACCAACAATGTAGAAGGGTTCTCCTTTCTCCACATTGTCACCAATGTCTGTTACATTTTTTTATTCTTAATAGCCATTCCTCATTGTGGTTTTGATTTGCACATCCCTGATGATTAGTGATATTGAGTATCATATACTTGTTGGCCATTTCTTTGTCTTTTGAGAAATGTCTATTCATGTCCCTTGCCTATCTTTTAATGGGGTTATTTTTAAATGTTGTGTTTGAGTTCTTTGTATACTCTGGATATTAGTCCCATATTGGATGAAGAGATTGTAAATATTTTGTCCCATTTAAGAGGTTGTCTTCTTCACGCTGTTGATTGTTTTGCTATGCAGAAGCTTTTTAGCCTATAATTTCAGCATTAAGGGAAGCCATGCCAGGAGGATCACTTGAGCCCAGCATTTTCAGACCATCGTGAGAAACATAGCAAGATCCATTTCCACAAAAAAAATATAAAAATTAGCCAGACATGGTGGAGAGTGCATGTAGTCCCACCTTCTTGGGACACTAGGAAGATCACTTGATCCCGTTAGGTTGAGGCTGCTGTGAGCCATAATCACACTACTGCACTCCAGCCTGGGTGACAGAGGGGGCCCTTATCTAAAAAACAAAAAATTTTAAGAAGCCTTTCAGTTTAATGACCTATTTGTCTGTTTTTGATGCCTGGGCTTTTGAGATCTTAATAAAATCTTTCTAGGCCAATATTTTGATGCGTTTACCCTGTGTTTTCTTCTACTAGTTTTACACTTTTGGGTCTTATATTTAAGTTTTTAATCTATTTTAGTTGATATTGGTATCAAGTGAATGGTGAGAGATAGGGACTCACTTTCATTCTTCTGCATATAGTTACCTGGTTTTCCTAGCACCATTTGTTGAAGAGGGTGTCCTTTGCCCAGTGTGTGTTCTTAATGGCATTGTCGAAGATCGGTTGTCTATAAATATGTGGATTTGTTTTTGGGTTCTCTATTTTGTTCTGTTGGTCTGTATGCTTGTTTATATACCAATATTTTGTTTCTTTGGTTACTATAGC